TCCAGCTAGCGCGACACGTCACAATATTGTGACGTGAATGGCGCAACAGGAAGTAGGGGTCACGTGAACTCTGGGTTTCCACGAGTGACGTCACGTACCCCCACTCCTCCCATCATTACGCAACGCTCGGTAAACACCCCTCCGTGCTAGGCTGTGACGTCACGCAACAGGCGAGTGCGTGCAGCGACTATTGCTAGGCAATGCGTAGGTAGAAATATCTGACAACACCACCTGATATCTGTTGCCGAGCATCAAGGTGTTCTCTATGTTGTCCGTGCCGAACCTATATAATGGGCAGCGAACACTATTCAGTAGTAGTGAGTATTGAGTTACGAGGGAATTACTAGTGTTAAGACCAGTATTCAGTATGAGCTGGCGTCCAGCAGCAGTTATGAGTTGTATCGAGGGAATGGAAGTGAGTACATCAGAAGACGTAATTGTGATACTGCAGATGGCAGTAGTGGTGAAATTGTAAATTGTGAAAGTCTAAGAGCGAATGTACAATAAATTCGCTAGATCCAAGAAGGCGTGAAGTTATTTGTCGCGTTACGTGACAATGCGTATATCCTACGATACCTGTTAGTTTGAATGTCGGCCTACAAGGATCTCTGCCTAGTATTACTCACATTACTACACGTGAGATTCCATAAGAGAGAATAAACAAGTGATATTTGAAATTTATAATTAATTTACGAATCTGTAAATATGAGCAAAACTGGGAAGGGTGTGTTTAAAACAGTGTGAACAGCCGTGAGTAGATCAGATAAAGCATTACCTTCTTTGCTGACGTCACAATATACCAGTTACATAGCCGCTATCAAGAATTCTATCTAAGCCCTCATTACAAAGTTCGGTGTATTTTAAAATGATCCTCGACGTTTAGACGTGCCTTTAACTCGAAACAATTTTCCATCAAATTTTCTTCTCTCAACTTTTTTATTTTGTCTTTTAAATGTCGCACTGCAGCAACTCTTTTTCTTCACCTGCTTCTTCCTCGTTTTATTATTTTCTTCTTCTCAATGAATTGGGTATTCTTCCTTCTGCTACTTTTGTTGTGTTTTAGTTTCAGACTTGCAACATCAACAGTAAGTTGCATTTTTCGTTTTGTAACTGCATTCATCATTTCTATAACACAAATTATATTTTCAATCTGTTTCTATATTTGACATCTGCATATAGATTTTCATACAGTGGCGTGGTTATATCTTAACGTTACTCAACGAATATTGCCCAGTAACTAATTCTCAGACAGCAGAGCCTAATCTTCAAAAGCGTTAGTACAAAGTTCTCTATTGGACGAGTTCCTGAGACATCCATTGCCAATACTCACAATCTAAACTCCAGAGTTCCATCTTGATGTCATATCTCACTCCAGTTCCTTCTCTGTCTTTCAGGGACAGTCTTTTTAAGACTTTTTCCCACCAAGTACTCAGTATTTGTCCTTGCATGCCCCCAATTAAATTCCTATTACGTCGTTACCTACTGCGATTTACTGCCCTAACATTAGTACACGACCTATGAAAATCACAAAATATCAGTCTCGTAATATCCGAAATTGTTCCAAATATTTGCAAAGTACTTTAGTTTCAAATGTTTCTAATTTATATTCTTCAGTCGCTGTAATATGTTACAAGAAAATGCATGTATATGGAATTTATTTAGCAAAGAAACCCATTTCCCTGCTATAACTTCTTAGTGGCGACAGAATTCAAGCATTGCTCGTGACAAAGTTGCACGCGTTCAGCAAGCTGACGACGACAGCATGTCTACTTGCTGTAAATTAAAACGGAGTATTTTACATTTGCATGCAGTTGCTTGCTTTGGGAAAGTTAAGAACATTTGTTACTACGAGCTGGGTGTCTGCCATCATGCTCCTGCTGTCTTTCTAACACAACCACAGCTGCTCTTTCTGCGCCGCGTAATTACGTGTAACGGCTTCTTTATATACTAACGTCGTCTTAAATGCAGTTTATCGAGTGCGCAAAATCAGCAGTGCCCGTACTTACAAGAACCCCTTTCAACTACGCTGGTTATTGATAGATACTCTCATCAGCTCATTTGAAAATTAGAACACGTTTAGAATTACTGAGTTTTGGACCTTTTCCATCGTCCGGTATTGTAGAATATAGCAAACACGATGTGATACCGGTCTCATCACGAATGTTGTAATTTCGGTGCAAGATATTCGCACAGCGGAGCATTACGGACTCTGTTCGATGGTATTCGGTCTGTATACTGTACAATACCGTGACATGACGACTGAAAGCCGGAATAGTCCATTGCTAGATAACGGCTCACTAAATAACAACGAATAGATGCGAAGAAGTCCATTGCTAGACAGCGGTTCCTCAAACACGTCCCCTCGGTAACAAATAGATGTATTAACAGAAGAAATGTTCGAGATTCTATGTGGAGCGGGATCTGAAACATCCACCGTAGCCCTGCGAGTCGTAGGAGGCGATGAAAAGGGAAGTCTCGAATCTGAGAGAGTAAAATATTGTCACGGGTCCCACGGGACCCGACCGCGAGAATGACTGCGTTGGAGAGGACCAATAGCAATTGTCAACGACAGACCCGTCCTCTCGTCAGAGAGGATGTAAAGTAACGACTATACCTGTACGTGTTCAGTTGGAAAATAAAAATTCTGGTTGTGTGTCTCATGGGGCTTGACTCCAAGACGAACTGATTGGCGGTAAACCGCCTGAAACCCTGAACTCTCAACTCTGAGAGTCCAATCATTCGGCATTCGCAAGAGAGTTCAGTGTTCAACTGTGGAGTGTTAACCAGTGGACAACAGAATCTGCAGAAGTAACCGACTTGTAAATCAAAGAAGACTACCTCATCCTCCTTGACTTGAAGATTCTACACGTAATTATACTTGGAGATGAGTACAAGTTATGAAGCTCCTCTTTATGCAGTTTTCTCCAACTTCCTGTCACTTCATCTCTCTTCGGTCCAAATATTCTCCTCAGAACGCTGTTCTCAAACACCCTCTGTCTATGATTCTCCCGTAATGTCAGAGACAAAGTTTCCCACCCATACAGAACCATAGGCAAAATTATAGTTTTGTAAACAATAAATTCGAAATTTGTGACGGATATATAAAAGGTAAATTATAAATCGAGTTTATGAAAGGGGTCGTGAAATAATTTAATGCAATATTCAATTATATCCATGGGGTTATTTAGAAAAATGACGAGAAATTCCAATGGAGCTTGTGTATGAGAGATGTACAGAATTTCCATGGAGAAATTCCATGAATAGCGACTTCTTAGAGGAAGGTGAAGGCAATCCGGGGATAGCGTCAAGGTCGTTTCTAGGGAGACACGTTGTGATGTTGGAGTGAGTCCTGTTCTGAGTCATCAGTCCAAATTCTGACTGCTGTCCCACTCCATCTTTCTTGCGTACTTACTTACTCATAGAGCTGAGCCCTTCTGGAGGAGCCACCAATTCTGCAGCTACTGAAGAATTTCTCAGCATTTTAGGAACCCTAAGGTTCATTACCGTGTTCACAAGAGCCTTCCACTGGTCCCTATCCTGAGCCAGATCTATCCAATCCATACCATCCCATCTAAGATCCATCACGTGACAATATTCTTATTTCACTCATGATTGGATATATATCTGATTAAATGCTGCATTACAAGGAAAAAATCTAGTTCATACGTTCATGTCATACTTACATTTAACTGAAAATGGTTTCGCATATTAATAATTGATATATTGATTTCGTTTGCATTATTTAAAACCACACAGAAAAGAAGATTATAAAATCCATATATTTGAAAAACAATAGAATATTAAGTGCAGACATAACGAAGATCTTGTGATGCAGCCATGAATGTTTCCTTTCGGAATGTCCATCAAGTCAACTCGGCTGGCAAGTATGCAAGGAGCGGCCCTCATACTAGAGCAATCCTAAACGTGAGAATGTTGTTCCTAACTTCTTGCTACAAAGATTGCCCTCACAATCTTCACGACTGAGTGGGTAGCTCAGCCTTAAGACTGGCTGACCTGACATAGGTGTTTCGTGGTTTCATCCAGACAGATATGGGCACCAGCTCTTCCTTCAACATATTCTAATGCCTTTTATTCTGATTATCTTACCATTCGACGCTACGTAATTTGAGCTAATAGCATCGTCGCTGAATAAGTCATAAAAATAAATAAATAAAATTGACCAGTTTGTTTATATAGTGGCTACCACACAGGCCTCTAAGCAGCCGCTTAGGATATTGCTTTGAGAAGGACACGATCGCTTCCTTCATAGCATTCCCATGTCC